GCCTTCGGCATGTGGCCCCCCTAATAATAGATTTCACAATAAAACACAATAAGATAAAGTTTAGTCCTGATAGAGGTTGTTTTATTAAAACACTGTAGATTGAAATACACATAATGAGTGTCATGGGAAAAAAGGCACACAGGAATATAAAAAGGCTGCAACAGGGTCTTCGTCGTTTATCCTTTCACAATAGTGGGAGTGATCATCTTCTTGAAGGAGTAGTATTTGCATTCAGTGGGCGGGTCAATGTCCATGGTGGCAGTGGCAATCTTTTCCTTCTTGAATCCGGCCTCGAGCAGATGAGGCACCTGAGTTTCCTGAAAATCATTAACACACAGAGAGGCGGTTAGTGTGCAAAAGCTTTCAGGTTTATCAGTAGCTACAAATGAAAGCGGCACGTAACTCAGACTCACTCCTGTTCTATCTGCATGTGCTGCTTGTCTCTTTTTGTGATAGTTGTTACATAACCACATCATCCAGGTCTGCTCTGCATGGTTTTAAAGTATGCAGTGTATTTATACAATCTTTATTTTTCATGTTCCAGTTTTATTGGTGCATAACTAGTATGTACTACAGGGAAGATACTGAAGAAAAGCTAAAGGAAATCAGAATGTTTAGGTGGAGCCTTTGATTAGCTAATCAAGGTGACAAACCTCAAACATTTTCTCGATGTCGTTGTATTTAGTCTTGAGCAGCTCGCCCCAGGAGGTAAGGTTGCAGTAGGTGAGGACGCCACCGGGTTTGAGGAGCCTGTGAGCATGACCCTGCAGGCAAAAACTCAAAGTTATTTTTTTCCTTTATTTAGATTAAAAAAAAACAAATATCTGGGATCTGTCTGAGCTGGTAGTAACAAAAGATACATTTTTCTTTCTACACTGCAAAAATGATCTAGAAATAAGTAAAAAAAAATTTATTCTGACTTAAATTAAGTGTATTTCCCCTTAGTTTGATTAGGTAAATAAGATGATCTGCAAATGCAATAAGTATATGTATTCTTAAAATAAGATAATTAGATAATATGGACTTCAATTAAGACAAGGCAATTGTTTTTATCTTATTCTAGATGTTACTTGTCTTGTTCGATTGGATAAGTTTCTCACCTAAATTCAAGAAAAAAATGCACTTATGAGAAAGAAATACTTATTTGAATTTTCTTTTTTGCATAACATCTATCTTATCTGCACTTTGTTCTTGTTTTATTTATTTCTTACATTCAACAGTGAAAGGAAAACATTCCCTTAAAATCTATTTTAAAAACAATAAGGGAGAATAATTTGACAGTTCTTTTATTAAATAAATTGAAGGCACGCTTTGTAAAAGGGTAATTTAAGGGGGAAAAAATTGTACTTGTTTTGTTTTTAAACTGTTTTGAGCTCAATAGTATCTGATTTCCTCTGATCCTCCCTGAGATGTTTTTGCAGCTTTTTTTAATCTGCCTGAGCTAGATTATGTTGATTGGACATGATTTGACAGGAAGGTTACTTGTCTATGTAACGTCTTATAGGTGAGGGTGTATTTAGCAGCAGAAACTAGAAATAACCTAGATTTGACTCGTTAAGGACGAGGCCAGCAGAACAGAACATCCTGAAAAACTCTTTTTAAAACAACTAGTTCATCTCTGTTTAGATCCTGCTGGCTAACAAACTGGAAAAGAAATAAATAAATCAAGAAGAAGGTTTTTAGTTAAAGATGTGATCAAAACTCCAACAGTTGCTTTAGGTAGAGCTTCAGTGTTTCCTTGAGGATTTAAGGGTAAGGAGCTATTTTCACGTTTTTGTTTTTTTTTGTTTTTTTATCAAATTCAAGGAAAGAAGCGATCTGAAAGGTGAAAATTATTTTGAAAGTAAAATAAATATATTAGTGAAAACAAATTTCCTCACTGATAGAAAAAACTGATGTTATTTGGGACTGAAGAAAACGTTTTGAGAGAATAAATGACAGAAACCGACATTTGGAAAATATGTTCTTATTCTCAAATATGTTTTGTATTCCTATTGGCCAGTCTCAACAGAATTGGCAAAAATAACTCCATATAACAAAACCACCATGAAAATCAACTGTTGCTAAGTCAATCCATCAACTTATATACAGCTTTCCGACAGTGAATGAGCAGCAGCTTAGCAGTGAAAAAGAACATTTCCATTCATAAAGTGCAGCAGTTATCAAGTGTAAATCAAGTGTAGTGTGGGAGAGACATGGTGCAAAAAGGCATTGATGCTTAAATTATATCAAAATGTGTGAAGGGATTTCAAAAGACTTGTTAATGGAGGGAAGTTACTGCAATGGGAAAGGGGATAAAGTCGATATAACAAGAGAGCACTGAATGTCCAAGTGGCCCTACCAGAGCCTAAACTGCAATCAAATCAAACACTAGAAAGGCCTTAACAAAAAAAAAAAAAAAACTTTCTACCAAAGCTGCCCATTCTATGTGAGAGACCCTGCAGAGAAGAAAGGTAGAAAGTTTGCACTCTAAACAGCTGCTGTTTTTTCTTGAGACAAAATCTTAAAGACTTGAGACCTTTTCCTGCAAATTTTTTTATATATATATTTTTGTTTTTAATCGCAAAATGTCCAAACAAGCTTTTGTATCTTTGTCATTTTCTATGTTAGGTTTTGAGAGACAAATGGATTTGCACTATGTAGGAAAATACCCGCAACACGAAAACTCGAAAAGATGATGTACTATGATGATGTTCTTTTTAATTATGTATTTTTACCTCGAATGGAATAAGATCATGTTTTCTATGTATCTTTTAATACTTTTGTTTAAATACAGTGAAGCCTTTATATTTTACTGAGATTTATGATGCTTTTAGTATAAATTGTAGAACTACCCTTCGCTGTTATAACCTAACATGATAATTAAAGCATTTCCAGTTTTCTTTCCCCATTAAAGCCGCACAACTTCAGGAGATGGGCTACAGACCCCTACTTTAGTTTTATATCTGATTTTAATGAAATATCCCTCTCAAATGTAAACTTATTTGATAACTTACCTTGATGAAATCAAACTGGTGAGTGTGCCATGTTTCCTCAGAGAGAGGATATGTGTCATAGAGAATACCTGAAAGAGAAAGCAGGGCTGGCATCATACAGGTGACTTAATTACATTTATTTATTCCTAGCTCATTTCTACCATTTAGAGGACTTTCTTATCTTCTAAAAATGGTTGGTTTCAATTCTGCCGCAGTTTTCCTATCCCTTGTAATGTTTATAATTAACAGAAAATAGGTCTGATTTTATATCTCACCATCAAAATGATTGTCTGGCAAGGTGGGAACAACCTTCTCCCAGAGGCCCTTCAGAGGGACCACCTGCAAAGGAAAAGGAGGCTCATTAAAACCTTTTTGTTACCATCATGAACAAGTATGGCTCTATTGAAGGAGCCCAGTGACCTTGTGTGGCTGAGACTTGGCCCAGTTCTCCAGACGGGCAAAAACTCCATCATTGCACTCAATGATCCAGTGCTCTTCGATTGGGAAGGACTCCAGCTTGGTGGCAGCAATGGCCATGCCAAAACCGATCTCCAGAACCCGACCACCTATCAGACAAACAGAATCAAACATTAATTATTCCCTGGCAGTAACATGCCATTTATAAAAACTAGTTTTGGTTTGATTAATTTAGGGCTGCAACTTATGATCTTTTTTCAAATCGATTAATCTATCGAATATTTTTTCAATTAATCAATATTCGGATAGCCAAAGGTTCCTTAAAGAACACTTTTTCTGAAATTAAACAAGTTGAAACTAAAACAATTCCACTTGAGGATAGAGGATAGATAAATCTTGAATGCAAAATGTTTATATATATATATATATATATATATATATATATATATATATATATATATATATATATTTTTTTTTTTTTTTTTTTTTTTTTTACAATTTTGGTATAATTGCTGCTAACGGGTTGGTTGATCTGTCACCTTAATGCATATTTTACAGTCTCTAAACTCCAGTTAATGACTAATCGATTACTAAATTTGTTGACGAATATTTTAATAATTCATTAATCGAATTAATTGTTTCAGCCCTAGATTTATTCCTCTGTAGGACATTTGAGGTCCAGTTGCTTAAAATGTGATTGCAGAGTAATTTCTTACAACAAATTTGTACTTTTGATAGTAGTATATAATAGACAAAGGTTAGAGGTTGGTGTTTAACCCCTTTTAGTGATTGAAATGTCATTAAAATGCATCTGCAAATAAACAGTTTGGTGAAAAAATACATGTGTAAGCCTCTTAGAATGGATTAAAAAAACAGTCATTAACACCACATAACATAATAATCACATTTCCTGGAGGCAAACTTTAGATTGATACTTTTATTTAAATGCTTGAATATATGAAGGATGTAGTTGGATAAGTCTAGGTTCCAATCTAACGTAAAAGCTCATGAGCTTTGCTGTGGTGTTCTTTGGCTCCTGCAGCTTCTTGGCCCTCTTCCAGCAGTATAGTAACAGCTGCTGTAGTACTCACCAATACAGAGAAACATGCTTCTAACACTAACAAGTTCCTCTTCCTATATCTGTGTGCTCTTTTTGAAATACAAAACTGGAATTTGGCAAACTGAGTTTCTTTTGGCTGATATTTAAATCCCTTTAAAATCATTTTGATTTATTTTTTGCTATTCTAAGTGTCACACTTCAAGGGAAATATGTATAGTTAACATAAAAATAATATAAAGATTTGATGTTTTTTTTTTTATTTAAACGTATTTGATAGTGACATATGAATGACTTAGAATGTGCACAATCTATACATTTTATTCTAACCTCATTCTTTTGAATTCCTTTTTTTTCTGTTACTGTCTCTTTAACTGAGTGACGTCCATGCAGCCTGAGTCCGTTATCGGACAGACTCGCTCCTTCTCCAACCGCCGCTGTTACCTTTAGAGGCTGCGACGGTCGCCAGGGAATGCATGTACGGGGTCTCCCATCGCTCCATGACCGGCTTGCCCATTATCTCCAGGTGCGTGTCGGCCTCATTGTACCCGGCGTTGGCGTCATGCCAGGACGACTTGCAGTTCTCCCCCTTTGAGAAAATGGGCTGAGCAGAAGAGGTCATTTTGTTGTACTGTCGGTGCTGCAGTCGGTGGGCTCTGCTGGAGGGTTTGTCTGACACAGAAGAGGGGGAAAGTGGAGCAGGCGGGGGTTTATATCGAGCTCATAACTGCTGACACCGCAATCGTGTGACTGGGGTCAAAAAGCGCACAAACACATTCCAAGACCTAAGAGAGGCCAAGATCCTCTGAAGATAAGATGGCTCACTAGGCTGGATATAACTGGTTTCATGTTTTATAGCCTATTTAGATTGATTTGCTCAGAACTCTGTAATGGAAAGAGGAAAGACTGCAAAAATAAACATTTATTTTACTTCTTGTCTTAGCTATTACCATTAGGCAAACTTTGCAACAGTTCCCCTAGATATCTAATAAACCCATAGCAAATATATATATTTGAGAAGGACAATATGGAGAAATGTGCTGTCTACATTCCTACAGATAACTTATGTCATCATTAAGAGACAATCCAAACCTAATCCAGATACTTGTAGCATAATTTAGAAAGAGGTGTATTGATCAGATTATTTTTTATTTATATTAAATTCTTAGGTCTGATCTGCCAGGCCTGCAAGACAAAGTTATTTGAAATATATGTCATTTGGGTATTGTCAAAAAAACATTCACATTTCAACATTAAATTGTATTTATTTTGTCATTATATCCTTTTTTGATTTAAAAATACAAAAGCTAACAAATGGACTATGTGTTTAAATGGGGTCTCGTCAGTGAATAAAATGCACATTATGCCAAGATGCATTAAATCTAGTTAGGAAAAAAGTTAAACACTGGGCAATTTATGTGCTCATTGATCACTGGAACAGTAGATTTCACAGATAAGGCATATATATAGATATATATATATATAATTCTATATTTATCTATATATATCCAGTCCAGTAGAGGACGCAATGACATCACAGGCCAGCATGCTCTTTTTTTCCAGAAGTAAACATGGATGGTACTGCCGGCACGCATCTAGCGGTCTTTTCCAACCATAAAAATTCAATCTTTTCAATATGTTTAAACACAAATACTGCTCTCCGCATCATCATCTGCCATGGTTGTTGTTTTTCTTGCCGCTTCTGCGCAGCAAGACGCATAATAGTGACGTTTGTCGGATATTAATGACGTTCAGGTCGGATGAATGCGACCTGGCCTTTCAGACACAGGTTGGTCAGATTGGAAAAAAATGTATCTGTGTTGTTCAGACAGCCATGAAAAGATCAGATCCAGGTTGCATATGGGCAAAAAAATTGGATTTGGTTCACTTCAGGCTGCAGTGTGAACATAGCCTTAGACTAGATAGTGTCAACCTCAGAGTCCTGAAGGTCTAAATAGGGAAGACCTCCTGCTTTGTTCCGCTACCAAAGAAAACTTAGCCAACAGTCCTCTACGACTAAAGACCTGTTGCCCTGACACCCCACACCATAGGGTCCTAGACAACCTCCCATAGGTCTACCTGAGCAAGCAAACAAGCATCTATCAGGAACCCCTGCAGTTTACCGGTACGTACCGCCATACGCTTTGAGTTAGAGATGCAATCATACGCTCTTCAACAAAGATACTGTCATTTAAACAAAGCAGGCAACAATCTGAGATTGCGTCTTTCATTCCTCAGTATATTTAACATGATTCACATTGCCTTGCTTTGTGAGAAACTCCTGAAAACTCAAGTAGAGGTCTCAACAATAGCCTCGAGCAAGGTCTACTTGACAAACGGAGAAAGGGAATAGTATGGTAAGTCCTGTCATCTACAGAGATACTCAGATGAGTTTTTGGATACATCAGAAATGAACCAGAAAGTGATTACAGGGAACTGGTGAATAATCACCAACAAAAAATAAAAAAAAACAGACATCTTGAATGTAAATAAAACAAGGGAGATGATTGTAGATTTCAGGAGAAACAGGAATAAGTAAAATATTGTTAACATAATTGGAGAAGAAGTTATGTTAGGTTTTTTGGGGTTTTCCTGTTTTTCTGGTGTGAGCGAGCTTCTTGTCACAGAGAGGATCTTTGCTGGTTGCTGTGCCAACTGCTCTTGCTGCACACCTGAGAACATTTCTCAGTCAGGATGTCTAGGATATATATATATATAAGGACACGAAGGATAATCTCCCTTCGCCGGATGATTACCCCTGATAGTTTTACAGCCAAAGACCTAAACCAGGAATATCTCTCTTGTTAAAAAATTGTCTTCTTTTGAATCTATTTTAATGTGGACTCTGTTATTGTTCCAGATGACCAGTGAATCTTAGTGGAAGCAGTTCCCAGTCTTCATCACCTGCCTGTCCGCTCTCCAGCATTAGAGTCAGTATTTTGCAAGTACCAACACTCTCTGATCTCACTCACATTCTCCTGAACCTCTGGGGTTCAGTCTGCAAAGCCTGCTGAGTCAAACCCCTTCAGATCCATGCTACTTCCCCTTCATCTTTCAATTAATGAATCCATCATCAGTTGTCATCCACCGACTCCTTCCTGTTCAGTTCGCTTGCTCCCCTAAGACCAACAAGAAAGTTCCACTGACTTCCTCTGGTTCCTTCCAGATTCTTGCTGCTTTGTAAATAAAAGATTTAAACTCACCGGTTGTCCATTTAATTCTTCATGTGGGTCAAGAAACTACAAACAAACATGACAAGTAGAAACAATGAGGGGTATCAATACCTTGGTGTTCAGCCTCACAACAGGCTTGACTGGAGAAACAACGGTAAAGTTGTCTACAAGAAGGAACAGACTAGATGATAATTGTTAATGTAACCTTGATCCTTCAGTGTTTACAGGAAGATATATAAAATAATTCTGTTGTGAAGAATGTGATCTCATCATGCCATAATCTGCTGGGGTAACAGCTTCAGAGCACACTACTTGAAATTGATAAATAATGCCGGATCTGTACAAGGAACTCCTCTAGAACCTCTGAAAATTATTTGGCAAAGAAGAATTCTTCACGAAAGGAAGAACACTTTGGAAAACAGTGAGCATCCTCTTTAGAAGACTGTTAAACAACAACTGTCTACAGTGAGAGGCTTTTCCTGATTTCTACAGGACATCCTTTCTTCCAAAAGATTCAGCAGATAACAAAAACTTATTTTCATTGTATTTTTGGAAAGTAAAAAAAAAGGGTACATGCATTTGTTTCAAGGCACTATAGCTCAGAGCTGTCGAAACCAGATCATGAATTATATCACGTAATCTATTGTTGTAAAACACATTTTACTGTTTAATTAGCGTTTACTAATGCAGCTAATACAGTCAGATGTTTCTGGAAAACATGTAGAAACTTGCTGGTTTTAACTTCGTCTTTAAGAGTATCAGTCAGATTTAATCTTTGGATTTTGAACTCCCGGGCACGCAAACCGCTTGCATCAATAATCTCAAATCAGCTGAAGACCTAATCGAGAAGTCTGACCTGTTTGCAGACCTAATTCTTCTTTAAAGACCTCAATCTCTATTAAGGTAAAGTAACTCTTAGAAATGCATTTAAAACTACAGATAAAGGAAATGTATAGTGCTGCCCAGTGGTGAACCAGTTGTGAGCACTGCTGCCTTGCAGTAAGAAGTTCCTTGCTTTGAGCCAAAAAATCCCTTTGATTTGCCCTGAGGAGTGTGTGTGTGCTCTTGGTGGTGTGTCCTGTTTGCCTCTGTGTCTGTCTGTCTAAGGTACTCCCATGCTCCTCGCCTAAACAACACCAATGACCCGGTTATGTTAGGTGAGTGGAATCGATAGATGAGCAAAAATCTAAAACTCAAGCCCACTGTTTTCTGAACTATATTTAGTGCCACCCATCTTTATACTGCTGCTGATGTGAATCACAACACTTTGCAATGAATCACAGCTGACAGACTAACGCTCCAAAATGAACCCTCCCTCTACAACCCTCACACATCTTCCCTTTCTGCTCTCCATCAGATGAAGCTGAGAGCGGCCAGCTCTTCATCACAGTGAAAGTCCTTATTGCGGGGTCTCGTCCACCTACCCCTCTTATGAAACTCTCGATTTGCTCTGCCTTCAATGATGCTTCTCTCCACAGATGCTCAGTTTCATGCAGTAACTAATGACAAAAAACAATAAACCGCTACTCTTCTGTAGGCTTCATGTAGCGCCTGATTGAGGTATTCACACCACTTAAACCTATTTGAACATGTTGCTATGGTACAACCATCAACTTCAGTATATTTTAGTACAGAAAGCATACAGAAAGCCCATATTCTTATTTTCTTATCTTCAGGTAACACAGAGTACATGTCAGATTAAATAATACAACTTCAGCCATAGTACCTAGGTGTTACTTTATTGTATGTCTCATACCATGTCTGTTGGTTGTGCTGCCCTTGTCTTTGCAGGTGATGAAGCAGACTGAAATTGTTTTTATCTCCTCTTTCTTTCATCTTTTCTCCTTTTTTTCTGTTTTTCCTCTTCTGTTCTTAGTACATTGCAGTGTCCATATAAGCTGTAAAACTCCCTGCATAATTATAATAAAGCTGTTTATATGCATAAAACAAGCGGAACACTACGGCAATACCCCTACTGCTCCACTTGTGAAAGTTAAATCTGTTGGGCTCTTTTTTGGTATCAAGACAATTATTCGTATTGCCACATTGCCAGACAGGACATTGTGAAAAAAAAAAAAAAAAGAAGAAGAAAAAAAAATTGCTATAACTATTCTTTCCATCATTTATACCCAGCATTTTTATTTTATATAAAATTCAAATACAGCAGAGGTCATCAAGAAGTTTTTTTTTTTTTTTTTTGCAATCCAGATCAATTGAAAGAGACTGATCTGACACGTTGATGATTGAAGTGTTTTTCAATGTTTTGAAGCTGATCACTGTAAACCAATCTCCTGGGCAAAGATTAACTTTTATACTGAAGAAACTAAAAAAAAAAGTGATGCCAGAGGTTGGTGGGCCAGCTGATCTCCCAGTGGCAACAGGAAGAGGGTGCTGTTCCTCTAACCAGTTCAGCTTAAACCAAACATAAGACTGCTTTATGCCTTTGCACAGAGCAACTCTTTGCACAGCACATAATTTGATTTTAATAACAATATATGATCTTATTAAATAGAAATGTACAAATGTGACCTATATTTG